GTTTTTTGGTGTTAAGTTGTATGAGTTTGTTGCATATTTTGGATATTAACACTTTATTGGTTATCTAAAGGGTTAAAATAACCAGAATTTGTTAATAGATCACAAGTAAAGAATGAGAATAAAGACACTCGTAGATAATACCATAGTTCCTAGCTTGGCCAGCTGATGAGATAAAAATGTTATGAACAGAGATAGGAAACAGAGGAGGCAAAGTAGGTTGAAGAAAGATAAGTGCATCTGGGACAAGTTGGAACTCTGCTGTGTGAAGACAGGCAGGTGGGAACCCCTGCTGTGGCTGGGAAATGGGGTCTGAGGTTCAGGAGAAAGATTAGTGGAAAGTCATGGAAGGGTATGAGCCTGCTCAGGGAGAAGTTCTTGTTCTAGATTAATGTGTAATTTGCTGTCAGAGTGATAAATGATATAACCTCAATTATTTTAAAAAAGGAAACCAAGAGATTAATGATATATGTTAAATTAAGGGATAACCAAGGAAAAATGGAAAATCAGGATTTAAAATTTCCAGTTTTGATACCTGGACACTTTGAGAGGGATGATAAAAATAGATGACCATAGCAAAAATATTTCCCAGTTCCCAATTAATACTCTTCTCTAAGCCACTACTGGTTTAGCACTTGAGGCCTAGGGAAATTCTTACCTGCTCCAAGCCTGTTAGCTCATCTGTAAAGCAGGGTTCACTCAACATAATGCTTGGCACATAAGAAGGGTGCTGTCACTTTTTAAATTTTAGCAGAGAACAATTTTGCTAGAAAACAGACAATAAAAACTACCCAAGAAAACTACTATTGAAAGAATAGGGAAAACAGTAACTGTAAAGACAAATGCTATTCAGATGGATGCTTACTGCTACTTCCAGGATACCCACAATGGCGGTGTGTATTTGGTCTGATATGCCACCTATTATTACTGTGATTCTGCATAAACATTTCTTGTATTATTTTTCTATTGCTGTATAACAAATTACCACTAACTTGGCAACTGAACACAAATATATTGTCTCACAGTTTCACAGCATGACGAGATACTCTACTTAGGGCCTCACTGGGCTGAAACCACCGTTTTGGCTGGGGCTGTAGTTCTTGGTTCTCATAGGGCCCTCTTCCAAGCTCATGGGTTGTTGGCAGGACTCATTTCCTTGCAGTTGTAGAACTGAGGTCCTCATTTTCCCTTTTAGCAGTTGGCTGGTGATGACTCTCAGCAAATGCAGGCTGCCTGCAGTTCCTAATCACTGGCCCCCATAGGCAGTTCACAACATAGATGTTGGTTTTCTCCCAGGCCTGGGATGGACTTCTCAGGCATTCAGTTCCCCTCCTGCTTCTAATCTCTGACTTCTCAGGTAGGTCTCTGACCTCTAGGCCAAGATTTAATAGGCTTCTGGATATTGTCCCTATCTTAAGGTCAACTGATCTGGGACATTAATTTCAAAATTCCTTCACAGCATGGTGTTTGATTGAATAACACCATGTTATTCAATCAATAACTTGTCTTTAGAGAAAAAAAGACATCACCTTTGTCCTGCAATGCAGGACGTGCACTTAGTACCCCTGTTATCTTCCGCGTTGTTGGGGATGAAGTGGGGTGAGCAGGATAATCAGGCTCAAGAATCAATGGACTATTACTTAGCATTGTAAGAACACCAACTTAATTATGATTTATGGGAGAAAATGGGTGTACACTAGGGGTCTGGGAACCTGGGGGTCATTTTAAAAATCCTGCCTACCACATTCCTGAAGTACATGCAAGTCAGTCACAGGACTAAGCAGTGACTTTTAGTGGCATTGCTGCATTTAACATTTGCCCTTTGGGCTATTTCTCTACACTCTATTTACATTTGAATGACACGTTGCTGAATATCTCTAAGGCACAGAGACATGCATTTGAAAGAATGACATATTTCCTCTGGGTGCTCTTAGGATACCTCTGAATGATGTGAAATTATAGGTCTTTCACCCTTGACTTTGTGCCCCTAACACCTATATAATCATTGAGTCAAGGCAAGGATTTATCTTCATTAAAAAAGAGTTTTCAACTCAAAATTGCTTAGTTCCTGACTTTAAGATTTGTGAAGTGTCTGATCACTGTAGTCCAAGCAATAAATCAGTTGAGGCCAAGGCTGGTTTGAGGGGGTACTTGAACATATGCTTGTCCTGAACATATATTTAATTTAGGAGCAATATGTTTTATATTGTCAAATCAACTGGCTTCATTCAAGAGGCCCCTAATTCAGACAGTGGCAGGCTGAGGAACCAGTAATAAAAAGGAGTGAGGAGCACATGCTGAATGAACTGAGGGTGGAGTTGAAGTATAAATTATGGCTGAGATGCTTAACCTGTAGGGCCACCAGGAACAGCTGTCTCTGCAGCTGGTCTCAGCCAGGTGAAATTCCAGAACCTTTTAGACTGATCTGTATTTGGAACACTCCAATGCTGCCAACAACAGTTGTCTCAGCAATTGGTCTAGGGAAAGCAAGACCCATCATCTCTCCCCCAACACACAGCAAGATCCGATGGTCAATTTATACTTGAGTCCTTTAATATGTTCAGACATGCTGTTAGCTGGTCACAGGATTCTAGACTAGTCAATGCAATATAGGAAAGAAACAAGAGATGGTATAATGATTTTCTTGATCATCCTGAGATACCTACATTGACAGTAGGTAAAGGCTGAGCTAACAGGTATCTTGGACATCATAAAAAATGTCAACGTTCACATGTATGTGCACATTTTGGTTTGTGTTACTAGGAAAACTGTAAGTACATTTTAAATTACCCATTTTTTTACTTTTTCTCTTCTCTCTTTGCTAAGGTAATTATGAGTCTTTATAAACTCTCATCTCCATGCAGTTTAGATTCTAAAGCCCATAAATCACAATTAAGTTGGTGTTCTTACAATGCTAAGTAATGCTCCATTGATTCTTGAGCCTGGTTATCCTGCTCACCCTGCTTCATCCCCAACAACGCGGAAGATAACGGGCACTAAGTGCATTGCAGGACAAAGGTGATGTCTTTTTTTCTCTAAAGACAAGTCATCCCTAAAACAAACAGGATCTCTGACTTAGCACTGGTAGAAATCAAATTTTGCCATACGCTTCAAAAGAAAAACAACTTTTAACTACAAATTCTAACTTATTTTGGGGTGGATGAGGGGTAGTTATTCCCATGTAACTGCCTATAGACATGATAGAACAATACTTTGCTTACACATAAAGGGCCCCAAGTTGGAAAGAATGAGATATACTCTGGCAATATATATGGTGAGCAGGGAAGTTTATTTGGGAAAACATCTCATTTCCTTGCAGTAGAAATTCTGAGAAAGATGCTAAAATTGCTACATTAAGTTATTCTATTTATCCAGTAGGGCAAGTAAGTTAGATCTGTATTTTTGGTTTAACCTAAGAAAGTGTTGAGACTACCAGCTGTCTATCAGAATGGCTTGCCTTTTAAAGCAGGAATAACTTGCCTTCATTGATATTTTAGGGGATAAATGATCATGTATCTTGGACCCTCAAGGAGGTATCCTGCTTTGGGTCCTCTATGGTCCCCTCCAACTTAGTATGTCTATACTTATTAAAATCACATGAGTTGTGTATTTCACATAAACACCTTGTTATCTATGTTGAAATGTCTTTCTCAATTGCATAGATAATATATAGCATCACCCATACCATGAACTGATACAGATAATGCAAGAGTATTGCTGTCATTTGTGAGGCTTAACAGACAGGCATTTCTACATAGTACTAGAAAAAGTAACAGCCCTAAAGGTACCTGTTCAACAGCATCATTCAAAACACACACCGTGATTGGGAGCTGCATTCAAGAATGTATTTCTGCTCTGAAAAATAGTTACATACAGCTTTATAGAGAAGTCATGGTATATCAGAAAGAAAAAAAGAACTGGTAGGAAGCACAGACTTCTCTTAGATATAAACTAACTTAAAGTCCTTATCTCAAGCATCTCAATTTCATCACAGAAACATATGCAGTGCTTGTGGGGGAAAAACTTTTTTTTTTTTAAATTACAAAAGGTATTGAATTTCTCTCAAATACTTAGGCATTTAAGTCTATTATTGTATGTTTATGTTTATGATTACCTGTTCCATAAAGGTGATTCTTCTCTCTTTGGAACCATCCCAGTTCTGAAGGACTAGAACAAAAACACCTAGAAAAGAACAAATCTCAGCTCTGTCACTGACTTGCTGAGTGGCCCTGGGCCAATCACTAGGACTCATTTTTTTAATCCTCACCCGAACACCTTTTCTCCATTGCTTTTCAGAAAGAGTGGAAGGGAGGGGGAGAAGGAGAGGGGCGAGAGAGAAAGGGAGAGAAAAACATCGATGTGAGAGAAACACATCAATTGGTTGCTTCTCAAATGCCCCCCCAACCAGGGCTGAGCCTGCAACTGAGGTACATGCCCTTGGCTGGAATCAAACCCAGGACCTCTTGGTCCACGGGCTGACGCTTTAACCACTGAGCCAAACTGGCCAGGGCTAAGACACTCTTAAGGTTCACTTACCACCAATCAAACAACAATCTCAGAGTAGGTGTGAGGCTCTTATAAGGTGACACATTTGATAATGATTTGGGAAATATGAGCAGTACACAGACACAGATATAGTTTTACATAATTCTGCATATTCCTTGATGCCTATCCAGAGTTAGGTTAATGAACAAGTGTTGACCCATTATGATAGAAGTAAAAAGAACTTACTTTAGTTCATTTTCCCATTTGGTTTATCCTTTCCTCTTTTTAAAAACTTACTGAATTCAGAGAAAGAGCAGGATAAAGGAACATTAATTTACTATTCCACTTAATTATGCATTCATTGGTTCTTATATGTGCCCTGATCGAGGATCTAACCTGTAATCTAGGCATATCGGGCGATGCTCTAACCAACTGAGGTACCCAGCCAGGGCTTTTCTTTCTTTCTTTCTTTTTTTAAATTATACTCTCCTTCCCCAGGTAAGACAAAGAAACTGTTCTGTTCTTTGAGGAATTTATTGGTCCTTGTGGAGCCCTAGAAGGCCACAAACACTCATGGCCAAAGAATGCCAACTAATGTTTGTTTTTTCAGTCTTGTAATATCTGCAGAACTGAAGTATGTCAGTGTCCATGTGTCTGTCCAGAACATCCATAAGTCCCATGCTTGCTCTGTGTGTCACGGGGACAGGGACGGATGACAAATTCACTGGTGGTACTTTCAAGCAACGCGGAAGGCCTTCCCTTTGGGGTCTGACAGGATGACTACACCCCAACAAGCAATGCCTAGGGAAAAACAACAGTACATTATGTGGATGTTGCATTTTAGTTTACCAAGCGCTTTCATATATGCCATTTTATTTAACACTCACAACACTCCTAGAAGATACAGAAAAGTGAAGCTCAGAAAAGGGGAAAAAAAGTTAAGAAAAAAACCCACCCTTTTACCTCAACAAGCTAGAAATGAACTTAAAGGGAACTGATGTGGAAAACCTAAGATAGGAAAACCTAAAATACGCTTCACATAATTGGTTTGAAGAGCTAAAAGAATCACTACATTTTACAGGACATCTTGACCATCACTTAGTATAGCTACAGATAAGGACTGTGGGCCACAAAACCTAGTGGCATACCTAGTACGTGGGCGTTGAACCCTGGTCTACAGTCTGACTTAAGAGCCCAAGTTCTAAGTTAAGAGCCCTTTCTCAGGCTTTCTCCAGTACCGGGAGGAAAAACATAGGCTTTCATGCCAGATAAACCTACGAGTAAGGCTAGCTGTGCCACATCCGGCGTGTCTGACTTGGAACAGGATTCTTTCTTCTCTGTGTCTTAGTTTGCTCAGCAGTAAATTGGGACCACTATCTGTAACAGCTATTGATAAGATTAAAAAGACTGAGGCTAATAAGAGTTCTCAAACTGATTTTAAAAAACAGCGTTCCAAAACCTTTCACCGCCCCTGCATCTTGTTCGGAGCGGCTCCCCCCAGCCCAGCCCGAGCGCCCC